ATATATATATATACGTATCATCATATTTCACACTTTCACGTCCAATTACTTCTCTCTCTCTCTTTTTCTCTGCCAGTTTCTTCAACTTCCACGCCGCTTCTTATCTTATTTTTTGTCATCGTTCATCTTCCCACATTCCTTGTGACTATGGTCCCGGCTCGTCGCTCCAATTCGTAACTTCAACCTTCAGAAAATAAATGAAAAAATAAATGTAACAGCCATTAATTGAAAACGCTGCAAGTGTCAAACATCAAATTTTCAATCACCGTGATACATTAAAAATGGCACAGTGAATATTTAACGCGGTAATTAATCGACGTTGTTCGATGCATTATTAAATGTATTATTAACGTACCATTGTTTAATGTAATACGTTATAAATGCATTTTAAAAAAACGTATTTTGCTTTTCCACAAACGACAAACAGGATTTGCACCTGCGATGTCTGCAAGATTTAAGTAAAATGTTGTTCTTTGTTGTTCGATTATTTACCAAAAAAAGAAACTCACCCTTCTGGAGAATGTTGGTATTCGAGGGATCTGAAAAATATTACCAGCAATCTCCGAAAATGTTCAACATGTTAAAAAATGAAATGCCAAAAGTCAGCTTTCTCAGGCCAACCTTTCTTCTCGAGAAGAAAGAAGAGTTTCTCTCTAGGGTAGTGTCGATTTCGTTGTCCTTGCAGGATGGTATAAACAAAATCTATATGATACTTTAAAAGAAGACAACGATGGATCTTCTACAGGTCGATTACTAAGAGAAGAAGTAACCAACCGCGTTCTACCTACCGATCACACCGAGGGATTAAAAATTCCAACATCGTTGCTATACTTTCCGCTTCTGTCATACATGATCCACCTAACCAATGATTATCATAATTTCAAAGTTTGCACAGAGTTCACTACGTAAATTGCAAGTTTCTCGAAAGGTTACCAAAATGATTATTCGTATCCATGGAACTTTCACCAGCTTCATACTCCTAAGTTGCTCTGACAATTGTCCTTCTTTGAGCCTAGTCTCTCCATATCGTTGACCTCGGTGTAACCTGCTGAATTTCGCCTGCTCCCGATATATTCAGCGCGTTCACGTGCATCCTGGCGCAGGATCGTCCGCTTAGACAGGTGAAACGCAGCGCTGAAACAGGCTGCATCGATAGCAGTGACGGGGGGCGAAGTATGCTAAAATGATTACGGATGTGCAATGACGCGTTCAACGATCAGCATGCTCTCACGGGCACTGATTTAATTGTACGAAACTACTCGCCGGCACGCACTCAAGCGGACGTGAACGTGTGACGAGAGTGTAACCAGCGCACACACGCGGCGTCGTTTAACCTTTTGCACTCGATCATCCCTTCTGAGAGGACATCGTACTCGAATCTCAGCTAACGAACTTCCTCTTTTTTTTTTTTTACAATTTGCTGATAATTATCGTGAACGTATACATTTGGTGTTGTGTGACGCGATACATGATCGATATAATATCTGAACAGGCGGCTGAAGAATTTCAAAAGAAGAAATGTCTGAGTATTATTTTTCGACAGATTGAAACTATGTGTCGTTAGTGCTTTTGTATATTTCTTGTTGTATTTCTAGCAAATGCACATTGGCGATTGCTTTCAATTTAAAACGATATCACACGTTGGGGAAGATACGATCAGGAAAATTTCGTGCAATCATTTGAATGATTATTTCGAATGCTGCTAATTATTTTATCTGAAGCGATGATGCTTCGTAAATAAATGGCTGGCAGGTGATACAAAGAAAGTTTGTCGAGGGTTAATATAGAAACAGCATCACAAATGGAATTTCACACACCGCGTTATAAATCAAATCCAGTAATCGCTTCGAAACTGTGCCGCTTTTCAGCACTTGGCTTGGTTTGTTTTCCTTCTTCGTCCCCCTCGGCGATCGGTATCGATCCGATTCGCCATGCCACGTTCTCTCGATTCGTCCGACACGAGAAATGAAATTTTTCGCGTTCGTTCGAAACTTCCTGAGGCTCGAGTCATCGGCAAGATTACGACGGCTGAAAATCAGTAGTGTAAGTCAATAATTTCAACGTGCTCGATAATTGCAAGAAGCATCGTCTCATTAGCTTCGCGATCAATTGAGTTAAAACGCGATCTCACGACTCGAAAAGGACGCGACGAATCGTTCGTAATAGTGAAACGTTGTTTTATGAAAAAAAAAAAAAAGGAAAAAAGGGAAAGAAATGATTTTTCGCAATTACATTCGAACGAAATTTGCATTGTAAAAGATTGATTGAGTGCACGATTTTAATGCACAGTTGCGAGCTCCTCGTGCTTCTCAATTTCGTGAAATTTCAGAGAATTGAATGTTCCGTCGAAAAGAAAAAAGAAAAAAAAAAAAAGCATCGCGTGGAAGCAGTAACGAGTGTACGAAGGAAAGCGAGAAACGATGTCTCGTTTCGGTTACTGGCAGATCTGACCGAAACGAATTGACCAGGGAACTCACGGTTTTTCTAATTTTTAAAAAGTTTTCAAAGTTTTCGACATTTTATTAGATCACGTTTGCACGTTTACGAGAGAAGAAAAAGT